AACGTAATTATTTTTGAATAAATTAAATTCTATAAATGAAACTTATGGGAATAGAGAGGAAGAATTAGATAATCTTTATCAGTAAATTGAGTAGGACAGTTAGTTATTCTTTATTTTAGGATTGAAGTAATTTATACCTATAAAAAGTTAATTAGTACCTTAAGATATTTGGAATAATAATCTTAATTAAGAAAAAATGTTTTAAACCATATTAAAAAGCAATTATAAAACATGTTTTGTAATTGATACGTATGAAGAATTAATGTCATTTTTAAGAACTTATCACATTACATAAAAAAATTCAATTGATCTATTTCTCGAAGTCAATTCAATTCACTATAAATTTAGATAATCTATTGAAAATTTAATAGAAAAATAAAATATTTTTGAAGTGTAATAATAAAAATTAATTGAAAATTTTATTGTAATTAATGCTGAAACACTTGAAGCAATAGTAAAAGATGATTATCTAAAATATCATTTTGTTGTCTTATTTTATTTTTCATAAGGAGTTGGAGCTTATTAATTAGATGAAAAATAAAAAGGGAAACTATTAAAATTGATTACAATAACTGAAAGATACATAACTTCTATTGGTTCTGGATTAGACAATTAGTATTTTTTTTACAAATCTAATTATTCCTTCAATTTATTAACTTAAGATCCATAATGTGCACTTTCTAATCCAAATTTTTTAATTGCTAATGTTGATTAAATGTTCAAATTACTATTTTATTATTGTCCAACCACTTATTTAAACTATGAATCTATCATATTAATCTAGATTTATAGATGTTTTTTATTTGGTTTTTTGACTTATATGATAGACATTTAAAATCCATTTCATACATTAGATGAATTAATTTTCTTTTATTTAGTCCCATGCAACATTATTACATGTATTATAAATTATGACAATTTCATGCATTAAAAAACATTTGAAAATAATTAATTCGAAATATATCGAAAGAGATTAGAATTAATAAAAAATAGTAATATTTATCTTAAAATAATCAAAATAATCTCTATAGCATTATTAGATTCTATTTTAGTTGAAATTTGTTTTAACATATTTGATATATTCTAAAATCAAGAACTCGAAAATTATTCATTATTTATATTCATCATAATTGAATTAATTGAAAAATAAAAATATTTTCTGGCACAATTAAACTCATATTATGAATTAGGAAAAATTCTAAAACTAATATTATCCTACATAATATTATTATTTTTATTAGTATTAGTATATTGTCTAGTGATTACAGACATTATATATTAATTATCGAGCATAAATGTTATTTTTTGGATATTCGGACTAATATTTACGCTATCTATCTCTTATGTATTATAAAAAAGTCTAATGATAACTGAATTTAGTTTCTCAAGTCATAATGATATTCAATATCATAATGAAAATCAAATTGAAATTGAGAAGTTAAATCAATCTTTAAAAGACTTGAACAAATAAAATTCAAATGAGGCAAAATTGTTCATAGAGAAATTATTTGAAGGAAAAGATTTTATGGATGAATGTCTTTTAAAAAAGATTAAAGGAGATTAATAAATGACTGATCAAATGGAAAAAGACTTAAAATTTACAGATAAGAAAACAGAAAAGGATTTTCTTAATTCACTCAAACCCTAAAATAAATATATTTATTTTATCTATGAACTAACTATATTTGGAATAAGAATCTATTAATAAATCAATAATATTAAGATTGCTTATCTAGTGATTTCTATAGTTTAGCTTGTGGTGATGACTTTGCTGCCTTTAATCTAAATATCTAAATTTAAACCTTTAGTTTTACTTAGTTTAAGATTTTTCTTTTTTATTGTTCTACATTCATTGTTAGATACTAATATAAATGAAACTTTAATGTTTATGATTTCTATTTCTTTAACTCATCATCCCTAATTAGGAATTAATGGATTTTATTGTGTGTGCTTTATTTCAACAATTTTAGATATGTTAATGGTTGGAATATTCAATAATGCTAATCCCTATTACATTATAAATCATGGATTAATTCTATTAGAAGTCAGTCTTCCACTTTTATTTCAAGTTTATAAAACAGAATTCCTATAAAGATATTAATATATCCTGTAAAATAAATTGTTAGATGAATATAAAAAGCTAAATGATGCTTTAGGTCTTTTAATGCCTCGATTCATTAAAGAAAGAATGTCAAAAGGATAAATCTAAATATCAGAAGATTAAGGAGATGTTGCCATTTTATTTTGTGATATATATGATTTTGATGACATCATCAGAAATGAATAAATAAAAGTAGTTGAATTCCTAGATAATTTGTATCGTTAATTTGATTAATTCTGTTAAGCAAATGAATTGTAAAAAATTGAAACAGTAGGTAAGACCTATATGGCAGCAGGTGGATTAAAAGATTATAATATGTCTGATAATTTGAATCCAACTGAAAGAATTTTAGATGCAGCTCTTTAAATGTAGGAAAGTGTTAAAACTATGAAATATGGAGATAAAAAAGCTGTTGTTCTTAAAATTGGTATACATTATGGAAGAGTTGTCGCTGGAGTAATTGGAGCTCATAAACCATAATTTTCATTGATAGGGGATACCGTCAATACAACTAGTAGAGTTTGTTCAACGTCAGAACCAGGTATCATTACTCTAAGTTAATAAGCCTATGAGAAAGTCAGCAATAAAAAATATTAATTTAAATAAAGAGAAGTTGAAGCAAAAGGCAAAGGAACCATAAAAACATATTAGTTTATTAAAGGAAATAAAAAATAATAGTAAGCTATTCTTAAAATTGCTGATGATATTTCGAAATCTCCAAATCCCCAAAAATAAAATTCGATGATTAAAAAAATATCAGAAAATTTGAAAAATAAACAAAAAACAATTTTAAAAAAGGTTTCTCTAAATGAAGAAAAATAGGATATTGGCCCAACAACTTTATAAAATACTAATATGAATGTAAATACAAAATTAATACCAAATGCAACTCCTCAATCAATTTAACCAATGATAAGAGCATCGTCAAGATCTGTATTTAATTCTTCATACTAAATGGGATTACTTACACCAAATGAATAGGATTAAGATAATAATAATAATAATAATAATAATAATAATAATAATAATAATAATAATAATAATAATAATAATAATAATAATAATAAGGTTGATGAAAAAGAAAAAATTAATATCAATAATATATAAGGTGATGGGTTAAAATCAAGTATTCCTTTAGGAGGGTATGTTGCAATAGGTTCATATACAAAAAGAATATCGAATCTAGCCTTTGAATTAAATCCCGTGAAATCAAGAAAATCAATATACAAAAGGACTGGCACTAAAACAAATATACCTGATTAAGAATAAAACTTAGGAATTGGTGCAAGTGGTTAAAAAATGACAGAAAGTATAAAAGTTGATTTGCCTGTTGTAAAGAGAAAGAGAACAAAAATAATTGCTGAAAAATAAATGGATTTTATGAATAGAATTGAATCTTTATCTGTTCACAAAACCCCAAAAGAAATGAAACTTTAATCTTATATGGAAGAATTAGAGATAAGAAAACTTATTGATATAGAAGATAGTATTTATTAAAATGAATATGATTTGAAAAATATGGAAGAAAAAGTTGAATTTAAAAAATATGGTATTTAAGAATCTGATTATAAAAGTGATAGTCATGATACTTACTTTTCAATTTATGATTAATACAAAGATTTTGATATAAAATAGGTAAAGATTTTTATTGTTTTTCTGGTAATTTTATTGTTAATCAAGAATTTGGTTTATTATTTATCATCAACAATGAGCGAAATGTTATAGGTGATTATTATATTTAAATCAATAATTAGTTTAGTGCTTTCAATAATAATTTATCACATTAAAAAAATATTAATATTGAAATTACTTATAGGATTCTATTTCATAATATTTTGTATAAATGATACTTTAATCATCTATGTTCATAACATATAAATGGAAATAATATTTTTGATTAGTCAAATAACTGCTGTTTATTTAAACTTATTTTATTTATAGATCTACAATAGAAAGGATAGAATAAAATTATCTACCCTATACACAATATTAATTTTAATAAATCTAGTATATAATGAATATATTTTGGATATTATTCTCTTTTCAATATGCATATTAGTATCAAGTTTGATTATTCAAGAGAAGGAGTTGAAGTTGTTAGCTGAAAATTATTAATGTTTTTCCCAATTTGAATCAAAAAATGCCAAATAAACATAGATTTTATAATATCTATTACCATAACACATAATAGGTAGATTCTTTTCAACAGATATAACAACAACAGATAATTTCACTGATGTTTTTGAAAATTGTACGATTCTTTTTGCTGATATTGCAGGATTTACAAAATATTCAAGTTCAGTCGAGCCAGAATAAGTAGTCAATATGCTTAGAATATTATTTTAATAATTTGATGAAGCATGTCAAAAATTTTAAGTTTATAAATTATACACTATTGGGGATTGCTATGTGTGTATGGGAATCATAGATGCAAATAACAGAGATCCTGTTGGTGAAGTATTTTAATAAATTATAATTATAGGCAATTAATGTTGTTTTATTTGGATTAAAAATGATACAGATAATTTAATAGATAAATAAAGATCCATAATTTTAGCACTTGAATATGCGAATTGGAGCACATACAGGGAGAGTGATAGGAGGTGTTGTAGGGACAGATGTTGTTAGGTATGATATTTATGGAGAAGATGTTACAACAGCTAATAAGATGGAATCAAAAGGATAAGAAGGTAAAATAATGGTAAGTTAAGCAACAAAAGATTTGATAGAGAGTGATGATGAATGCATCGGTATTTTCGATTTTGAATTTGCATAAGAAGTTTATTTGTCTTAAAATAATACTACAATATCTACTTATTTTGTTAACTTTGATTAAAATGGTGATGGTTAATGAATCATTTATATATTTTAAATTAGACTAATCTTTATTATACATTATTTCATTTATTTTTCTTAATCTTATTCAAATCACTAGGAAGGATAGACTCATATAAATCATTGACTTTTTTGAGTTTATCTAATTGTTCTTTTTATTTATTCCATCCAAAGTTGATTCTATCTGGTTCTTCATAAGTTCCCATTATTCTATCCCAAACTGATGTGAATTTACCAAAATTTTTCATCCCACCTAATCCTGGTTCATGATGAATAGTATGATGTGTACTATATAATAAAAACTTAAATGGTAAAGCTGGAACATTATCATGAATTGAAATAGCCTTGATTTTAATAAATATATAAATTTACCCAAGAGGTTGTACATAAACCAAAGAAAAGGAATAAATTCATGTGAATGGGAAAGAGAAAACAAGACGTGAACAAAGGAACTGCTTAAGCAAATGCATCTAATGGATGAAATGCAAATCCACTAAATGGTGTAATGTCTTTTGAAAAATGATGGATTCTATGTAATTTAATGTATAGATAAGGATATGTATGAAGCCATCTATGTACCCAATATCTAGTTATTATGATAATATCTTACGTTAATGTTTCGTCATATACAACATGTAAAATTATACTTATAGGAATATACCAATATCCATAATCACTTATATTATAATACATTAAACTGAATCTTGGTTATGCAACTCTTATTATAGAGACTAGGAAAGTCTCAAAAAACATGTTTATGATGGACCATTTGATGTCATAGTAGATAAAGAATTTAGCATTTAATTTTGGTAAATACAATTGTTTATTCTTTTTGAAAAAGTAATAATAAGATGAGCATGATAGAGTGAAGTATAAAGCCAATGCAAATAAAAATGTTTAGCATACTGTTGAAACATATTCCCCAACAATTCCATCAAATCCAAATCTAATAAAATTGCCTGCATAAGACGGATGATTTTAATATTAATCAAGTTTTATGTTTCGATCTATATTAATGAATCCCAATAACTCAGCTTGGTATATTTAATTATACACATACCTAAATACCAAATCATCTATTAATATTGATTATTAATTTATTTTGATTAAAATATTTGTATGAAGTAGTATTAATATGTCTGTTAATTATAGCAAAATTTAACTTTTTATATTAATAATTTCAGTTTTATTAAGTAGTTATCTTGAATAAATACATTCGTTATTTTAGAAAAAACAATAAAATAAATGCCAATATTAATAATTCTTTTATCCTTACTTTAATTATCATAATAGATTTCCTTCATTGGTTAAACTGCTACAGGTAAGAAAAAATTAACTCAATTTAGAACGATATTTTCCTAAAATAATGAATTGGATAAAGAAATAAGATTAAAGAATTGATCAAAGAGTTGCTTTTGAATCTATACAGTTGATGTTTAAATTTGTGGAAGAAGAACTTTCGTATGATACTGAAAACAACGAATTCTTGGAGTTATTCTAATAATAGGTAATCATCATCCTCCTATTTTTTAGATTTTTAATCTTTGTCAATCTAAAGTAGATTTTGAACTTCAAAGCTATTAAGCTATGTATAAATTTTTGAATGAGGATCTTAAAAATGAAGTCTATTTCTTTAAAAACATGATTAAAGACAAGGAAAAGATGTTGGAATAAGATATTAAAGAAATTGAAAAATTAAAAAAATAAACCAAAGACAAGAGTAAAATAGAATAAAAGCTTAAAGATATAAGTTATCTTATTAAAGAGATAGACAAAAACTTAGAAATTGGCACTGCAGAAAAATTATATGGATTATTAGAAATAATAGAGTCCAAGGAAGTTATTGGATTATTTCAATATTAAAATGAATATTAAGAAATCTAGTAGTACTTAAAGAACGTAGATTTGCTCTTCAAATCAAGAAATTTTTAGTAAGATAAAGTAAATTTATAATAAATTCTTTGTAGTTTGAAATTGTTAACTTAATATCTATGGTGAAAAATGTTCTTTTAGATTTACATTTAAATATTATAATCAAATTATAAGAGGAATAATTAGATGAATATGAAGCCATGTCTTTTTTTGAAAATAGCAAAGTCACTCATTAGATAGCAAGAGATTACTTTTAAAATGAATTACACTCATTTTTAGGTATTTTTTTAATTGATTTAATAGAAATCTTAATAAATAAATGGGAAAATCTTTTATTGATTTAAGAAAATACCTAAGAAAATTCAGATATCTTTAAAAATTTGATTTTGCAACTTAAAAAATAAAATTCCAAAATGATTGAAACAAACAATCACAGTATATAATTAGTTAATTTCTCAATTAAACATCTAGAATAAGAATTTTTACAATAAATAAAAAGATAATGAATAAATTGAAATGTGATTTAGAGTTATATATATAATAATAATTTAAAATAATAAAAATTCCATATACATAACTCATATATAGTTATCAATAAATTTTGAAAAATAAGAAGATCAATAGGAATCCTCCAAAAATAAACCAAACAGAATTTTTCTTAAACCATATAGACCATTCTAATTCTGCAGCTTTATCTTTGAACTGAAATAATATTTATATTAAAATTTTACTAATTTTGAGTCTTCTTTCAAAGATTTGGCCTTCTCATTCATATCTAAATATAAATGATTAAAAATTACCTTATAATTTCTCATCTCTATCAAAGAGTAATTTGACATTTTCATTCATTATTTTTTTAAGTTCTGTCATTTCCATTTTTAATCTTTCTAGATTCTTGGATGATGATTAATCTTAGAATTCTTATTTCTTCTTTTTTATAAACCTTTCTTTTTTTTATAAAATATATCAAATACCAAATTATTAAAAGCAATATGAATCGTTGCTTTCAATGGTTTCTAATTTAGATCTATAATTAACATTAGAGGTTCCATATCTTATTTGTAATTCCTATTAAAGAAAATTGAATTACATCTTAAAACCCTTTTTCAATTTCATCAAGATAGCAACAAGCTAATTTCAGATTAAAACTAAAATCATAAAAGACTACATAACAAACACCCATAGAAGTCTTATAAACAGCTATAAATAAAAATTATTCAAGTACCTTTTACATTACTTTATTGAGAATCCAATTATTAATACTATACATCAGACGATAAATTGCCACGTTTCAATATTAATTTTATTTATCTTTTCACTTCCAAGCTTAATTAGACTTTTTCATTTGATTGTACTTCACAAAGCAATAATCCATCATTTGCTCTAGCTTAATAAAAGATTGAATACTGTCATACCTATTATTGTATCAAAAATCATAATTTTTTTATTAATTAATTAATTCAAAGAATGATTATAAAATACAATGAATTATGTAAAGTTGTAGATGTCTTAAATGTTTTGATCTACAAAATATTTCTATTAAGTATGAGTAAAAAGAAAATCGTTAATATCATAATATTTAAATACTTGGTAATATAAATAATCTATTTATAATTAATAAAATGAGATGATGGCAATTTGGAAAAGCACCCATAAAAATATTTTATTATTTTAACATTCATTAAAAGTGCTATCATATTGTAAAATTGTGAACAAAACAGTATTACTAGAAATGAATAGGATTGAATGATGACAAAGATTAACTGATTATTTTTTAATTTTATCCTGAATAATTCTAAATTTTGGACTTAGTTTAGATAAAAGGACAATAGTTATGGATATCAAAATAGAGTAATAAATTAAGGCAATATCCATATGTTTGAAATGGAACCCATTTATTATTTAAAATCTACAAATCATAATTTATACTCTTTAAATACAGACACTCAAACATGTTTCAAAGTAGAGATTGTCAAAAGACTGATGTTTTTAAATTGGAATTTTTGTATTAAAGATTTTAGGAAGTATTTAATATTGAGTTTTTGAAGGTTAATGGAGAATAGGGAGGTAATGGAATATATATATATGTGTATTTTAAACTGTTTATGAGAATTCAGGATAGGAAATTATTGTTTTTTGAAGAACATATAGAGCATTGAATAATTTGAAGGAGGATGAAAAATGCAAATAGAATAGAGTATTATTGAGTATAATTCATTTTAAAGTTTTAAGAATTGAAAAGCGAAAGATTACACTCATATTAACATCTATAATAGAAATATTACATAGATCGATGATGATAATATAGAGATTTAAGCAACAAGAAAAAAAAGAAATTATGAAGATCTGCTTTTTGATGAGGTAGTTCAATTTAAATAGTTTAAAAAAGTAAAATTAGCAATAACTAAATATGACAAGAAAAAAAAATCACTAATTGAAACAGTTAGTGGATGTTTTTCATGAAAAAAATTCATAATGATCTTCATTGAGATTAGAATACTTATATTTAAATGGATGATACTTGGTTAAGTAAGAAACCTATCTATAGGTTTTGATGGAAATCATCAATTAAGAGAAATTTGATAAGTATTTGGTGAATTATTTCATATTTAACAATTTGATTGGAAAACCAATTAATCCAAAAATTTATTAAAGAGAAGTAATTATATTTATTAATGAATAGGATAATAGTAATTATTAATATTGGAAAAAGATATTGGATGAATTGGGGATTAAAAATTGAGAATAATTTTCAAGGTTTTTGAATGTGATTAGATTGAAATAGATGAATATTGTGAGTAGGAATAATGAGAAATTGTAATATAAATAGGATTTACAATAGCAATTCGAGATCGAAAATAATGAGTTGATTGAATGATTAATATTTAAAAATAAAAATATCATTTTTAAAATAAATGGGCAGAACAGGAATAGCAATTGGTTTAAATAGAGGATTTATAACATCCTCTTTAACAAAGAAGCAATTAAGAAGAAGACCATCATAAAGAAAAGGAACTTTAGGTAAGAGGGTGCTTTCTGTCAGAAAAGTCATCTAAGAAGTAGCAGGATTGAGCCCATATGAAAAGAGAATTATTGAATTATTCAAAACCAATCAACCAAAAGATTTAAAGAAGGCAGGAAAATTGGCAGCTAAGAGATTGGGTACAAATAGAAGAGGAAAAAGAAAGATTGAACTTGTCTAAAATCTTTATAGAGCCATGAGAAAGTAATAATAAACAAAACATTGATATATTACATACATTATACCAATATAATCAATCTTGCTTTCTTTTTCTTCTTTAGCAAAATAACCAATCATATTTTAATTAATAATATTCCCATAATCCCATTCCCAATTCTTATCTACTCATACCTCTTTCAATATTCCTTTTTAAATATTTATGTCTATCTTTTAATATCTTTCCAATAATATCAGTAGTAGATATGCCTTCAGTTCTTTTAGTTGCCTATTCATATATGTATCTTTATATTACCTTGAATTTTCCAAGTTTCTTGCACAAAGCATATGCATCATCGACATCAGCAGTTGTATATGGAATATCATCATGAGCAACATAATCGATACGATGATCATTGAGGAATTTCTCATCGATTATCCATGGAGCAGGATAGATGACTTCATCAGCCCTTAAAATATATAAATTTACACTTACCATTTACAATGTTTAACACTTTCAGTTCTTTAGTAACCATCCATCACAGATTTTCCTTTAAATTTCTCAACATCCTCTTAAGAACAAACTCCAACAATCAAATAAGTATTTGGAAAGAGCTTCTTGCATTATTCTAATTAACGTGCATGTCCATAATGAAACATATCATAGACTCCATCTGCATATACACGTACTTATTTTTCTTCTGTATTCATTTAAATAAATAAAATATTAAAATAATGTAAATAAATGGCCGTTTGTAATTTGACTTAAAACTAGATGATAAAGATTATAAAATATGTGGAAACATTTTCCTGAAAGAAAACATATCTACAGATGTTGAAAAAGAAGCTGAAACTATTGCCAATAGAATCGTTGAAAAAGTCCGATAAAAATCATTAAACAAATCAATCAATAAATCTGTATAAAACAAATACGAATCATAATCAGCTACTAAATTTAGTCAAACTGAACATTTCAAATCTATTGAATAATGTAATTCTCGATAAGAAACTTTAAAAAATGACTATAAATAACCATTTATTTCTGAATATCAGACTGAGTATAGATCCTCTTGTAAATTTAATAATGAAAATCAATAATTAGATATTTGTGAATTAATTACTCCTTAAAAACATAAACAAAGAAATACTAAATCTTAGTAATGCATTAAAAAAGATTAACAAATTAATAAATAGTCTACTATCTAATTAGCTGAAAGCCAATATATTATTGAAAACAATACAAATAGCAATATTAAAGATGGAAAACATATTATTTAATTGATGTATTCTTTTATACTATGATTTTAGAGACAATGCTCATAATCTGATAAGAAAGAACTCATAAATTTTAAATAAAGTTTAACTCTAGTCTCCTCTTAAATCATCAATTAATACTAAATCATCTCTAAGTATCAAAACTTCAATCAATACATAATCAAATAAAAAGAAAGAAGATATTGTTACTCAATTATTAGGAAGTCTAAGAAATGCAAAAAAAATTAAAGATGAATATTAAAAAAGATTCTTTTGATTACTTATATTTATTAATACATAAAGTAATATCATTTCAAAGTATATATATTTATTAATATCAATATTCAATAAGATATATTAAATTATGAATCTTTTTAAATCCTTTAAATTTTATCTATTAATTACTCATATAAATTAAAAAAAATTAATTCTCTAATAAAATTATTCACTTAACATCATTAGATATTCATAATTAAAAAATAACTGAATATTAAAATTCAATCATATTATTATATATCTCAATAATGAAGTTCAGATATTGTTTATTTCTATCTTTAAATATTATAATCTATTCATATTTCTCATTTAAATTTTCTTTTATATCAAAATAGTGAGAAATTCCTTTTATTGTTAATTTAATTTCAACATTTATTAAACTAATTTTTGTTGAGAAAGCATCACAGTGATGAATTAATCAAGTATCAATAATAAATTCAGCATCATAATCCATTTTAACATCAAAGATTATATATATTATTTAATCTTTTTTACAATATTGGATAATAGAAATCTTAAATCTAGGCTTAAAAGCCTTTATTATTTACATAATAATCTCTGTATCAATGATTTCTTTATTAATTATATTTAATATCTTAAATAATAATAATATTTTGATTAAAAGATTAATTTATTATAATTAAGATTCTATATAATGATAAAAGAAGACATTTAAAAATAAAATCATTATATTTTATATTAATTAAGATGTATAAGATTTCTAATTATTTTTAATTTGTCATTAATAATTATATTTAATGTCTTAATAAAAATAAACAGTTTTTAATTATAATAATGAAGAAATGTAACACATTAGTTAATATATTTAGTGGTGGATGTTTAATGTTGATGTATGATTCAGATGATGAAGTTGATAAATTTAATTAAAGTCTTCAGGAAAGCTAAATCCAATTATAAAAAACAGCTACTAAAATGCAGCAAATTTAACTATAGAATAATCACAATATTAAAAAATGATAATATATTAATAAATCAATCTATATAAATAATGTATCAAAGAACCATTTTAGAAGACAATGAAAATATTTAAGAAGATTGTAAACCCAAAAGATATGCAGCCAGTCTAGAAGGATAAAATTTTAAGAAAAAACAAACTAATTAAGCAAGTTTTCAAGAGTGGGTTGGATTAATTGGTATCATCGTTGTCACATATCTCTTAATTATTTTAGTATGGGCCTTATGTATTTAATGTGTAATTATGCAAATTAGGTTTCATAGGTATTGATAGCAATTTTAAAGTCACTGTTGGTATCTTTATGGTCTTGTTTGTATTATTTGTGATTGGAATTTTAATTTATTGGTATTATGGTTTGAAAAGTCGTGAAGAATTAATTCGATCAATGATGTTAAGTAAATGGTAGGATAGTTCTTATGAAATTAATAATTGATTTAATTACGATTCATTAATCGTCATGATGTATATACTATTATGTGGTTTATTATATTATTTTAAAATGTTTCATCATTTAATTATTTACACTCAGATCTGGTTGAAATTATCTCACAGTTTTTAACATTAATGGATATAAATTTGAAGTGATATATATTCTTTAATACTCAATGTAACGAAATGTTTATTATTGAAATCTATAAAGAATAATTTTAATTACAATATTCATGTAAAAGATGATAAAATAGATTATATAAATTTAATTTTCAATACTGTTATGTAAATTAAATAATACTTGATTAGTTTATTTATTTAAATTCTAGAGAGTATATCCTTTTATTATAGATAATTTAGCTAATAATAGAAAATTGAAAATACTATATTTATATGATATATATAATTTCAGAACATTTATTTTTCTAATAGTTCCTTATTTATAAATGTTTATTATTTCAATTTAATTTTACGAAAAATTTAATATTCATAAATTATTTTAGATCAACTACAATCTTTAAAGATTTAACATATTAACTAAAATATGGATTTAAATGAATTGAGTATCTTAAAAATCAATTAGAATATAAATAATATATAAAGTTATTGATTTTATATAAAAAAAGTTATTAAATGATAAACAGATTATCTAATAATGCAGCTATTTATTGGCTATAAATTTGCAATCAAAATAATAATGATTAATCTTAATTAATTAGATAATGGAATTTCATTTTTTATGAGATTTTTTTTTAACTATTATATCAGTAATTATCTAGGTTACTTACTTATATAAAAAATTCAAGATATTTATGGATTACTTTATTTGTTTAATCAAATTCTATAAAATGTATAGATTGATTAATTTATAGAATTGATATTATAATATATATTAAATTTATGAGTGCGAAAGTTGTTGAAAATTATTCCCTCTTAGAAGTAATAGGTTCTGGACAATATGGTAAAGTTTATAAGGCAGTGAACATAAAAAATAATAGTTTAGTAGCAGTGAAAGTGGTTAAAATAGAAAAGTTTAAAGAAGTACCAAAATTGGAGGAATTCACAATGAATGAAATCCAAACATTGGCTAAAATTAGTAATCCCTATGTTGTTAAATTTATTGAAATGCTTAAGAGTTCTCGTAATTACTATTTTGTTTATGAGTATTGCAATGGACAAACTCTTGAGGCTGTGATTTAAGAGCAAGGGTATAAATTTGTTTAATAAGGGTTCAAACTGAAAAGGAAGCTCTATATTATTTTAGATAATTGGTTTAAGCATTCCAATCATTAATTTAAGACAACATTATGCATAGAGATCTTAAACCAAGCAATATTATGTTACATAATGGATAGGTGAAGTTGGGAGATTTTGGATTTTGTAAGGCCTTAAATGGTCCTCAAGATTTATCTTCTACAATGGTTGGATCTCCAATCTATATGGCTCCAGAAATATTAAAAGGATAAGAATATTCAATCAAAGCTGATATTTGGTCTTTGGGATGTGTTTTGTATGAATTATTATACGGAATTTGTCCATTTGAAGAGAAAACTATGGCTTAATTAATGTTGGCAGTTGAAGAGAGGGAAATCCAATTTTTAGATAATGTTAATGTAGTATCATAACAGACTAAGGATTTATTATAAAAATTACTTACAAAAGATCCAAATAAAAGAATTAATTGGAAAGAATTGTTTGAAAGAGAGTTGACTTATGCAGAGAGTAGAATATTATTAATCATTTAGGAACTAAAAATAATGAATAACATGGAAATTAGATTTAATAAGAATTAACATTGAATTCATAAAGGAATAAAGAATCAAAGGCTTTTAAATATTTATTAATGGAGAGAAATAAGATATTTTATTTATATAAAGTTGTTGAAGAAGTCTTAGAATTGAGCAAAGAAGAAGTTAATTATATTTGTTATTATTAATTGTTTTTAGAGAGATGAATGTAGAGAATCTTAGAGTGTATATTGTGGCTATATGATAATGAAATATATCTGTTATTTGATAGAGATGATCAGAATGAATCTAGTTGACAAATTTAATGTTTCAGCTTTTCCTCATCTTGTAAAAAAATAGGAATTATAAAATGATATTACTAAAACATTTGAGTATAAAAGTTTTTGTACTCTTATTTAAAAAGAAGTAGAAACAGCTAGAAAGATGTTTAAGCATTTTTAAGATGAAGCAGATAAATTTTATAAATCATAAAATAATGGATAACATATTTATTAAGGAACAGAATTTGCTCATTTTGAAAATGAACTTTAAAGAGAATTATCATCATCTGAAATCTCAATTACTTTTATGAAAAAAATTGTATTAAAATATTGTGAAGATTTAAAAAGTTAGTATCTACAATAATTTTTAGATAAGAATCCTTAATTGGGTAGCAAGTAATCTTATATTTAATATTTATAGACAATTATTACATATTGAAAAAACATTAGAATCATTAATTTTAGATGAATTTTTTGAAAATTGTATGGACATCCAACAAATCGATTTAGAACAACAAAATTATTTTTCAATCCTTAATAAATATTCAAAAGCAGATTTATTATAAGTAATCACTAATAAGATGGACTATATTAGACATAAATTATATAAATGAGAAGGAGCTTGTATCTTAATAATAAAATTTATTTATTTTTGCTATATTATATAAAGCATATAAGACCAATAAGTATATATAACTAGTATCTCTTTTAAATGAATCAATAAATCTGTTAATTTATTTAAATTCATGCTTTGAACTATTTGAGATATAATTCAAATTATTTATGAGATTCCATACTCTTAAACTAGATCTAAATTTAGAAGCTAATAACATATAATAGGAACTAATTAATATATAAAGATTGAGATAAATAAAATGAGTAATCAAAGCTACGACGTTCAAAGAATGGGACAGTCTATAATTTTACTAGGTTGTTTTCTTGTAAAGAATTTATTTCTTTTTAAGTTAAAATCTTCTTATGGAGTTGTGAAGTTAGTTGATCTGTACTCATCCTATTTCTTTCTTGGATCAGTACAGAATTTCAATTCTATTTTCCTTAGATAATCTATTATGCCCTGAATTTTGGGATTAGGCTTATGATAAATTTCTAATTCTAAAGAGTCTAAACTTGAATTTAATTCTTCTGACATATTATTAAAAATATTAATTTTCGATATTTCACTCAATTTCAATTGAAAAAATTAGTATATAATATGATATTAAATTTTTGCATTAATCATAAACTTAATTCACTATAATTAAATGATAATCATCTATAAATTATTATACATTAACAACTTTAATCTTTAATGAAATTTACTTTATTTTTTATACTTTTAAAAATAAAAATTTTGGCAATTTATGAATATAATGTAAAAAAGAATATTCAAAAATAAAAAATAAAAGAATTTTTTAATAATAGAAATTAATAATAATCATTTATAAAATTAAAGATCATAATTAAAAACAATAAGAATTTAATGGATTTAATAATCTTATAAAATTAATATTATAAATAAAATAATTATGTCAGAGAAATTACCAAAAGTGAGCCAGAAAAAAGCTAGATCATAATCTTTATATCAGAATCAAATTACCACTTAGAAACTAAAGGAATCATTGTACAATTAATAAACAAGTCGGTATGGTTAAAGAGCTTAAAGAAATCCTGTTATAGAATCAATTGTTAAAGAAGCTGATGTAGTTATGACTAACTAACATCTGAAAGAGAACTTATTTAAGCTAAAGGAGATGGGATTATTAAGGAATTGTTAGCCAATAATATAAACGTAGTCAGGTTTAAAGAAAAAAGATTATATATTAAATGATTATCATAATAAAAGCACATTAAATGGATATTCAAGGAATTATGGTGGATTGTTTTATAATAAATGACTGATATTTACTAAATATTATATATTTGTTATTTAAAAATTAAATGTGATTCTGTCATTCTATTTTAAAGAAAAATAACTTCCAAAAATACATAATATATTAAAATGAATAATATTAAATAAATAATATAAGCAATTAAAGGATGTATACAAATTTTAATATTAAAAGAAAACATCTAAGACTTAAAGAAGTATAACCCTTTGCCTGAATAAGAGTAAGGCATTTAGAAAATTAAATTAATACATATTGCTGCATCCAATCCTAGTTTAGAAATTTTACAATATTTTGTTGAAAAATCCTAAAATCTAGAAATCACAGATTCTGTATAAAACTAAATATATTTATATAGATAGGAAGAACTCCATTGCATTATGCTATTACTTATGGTCAATTGGGCAATGTTTAATTATTGATTAATAGAGGAGCAAAGATAGAAGCATAGACATTAGGAGGTGATACACCTTTGATAAAAGCTGCATTAATAAAAAATAATTAATGCTATAATTATTTAATTAGTATAGGTGCAAATAAATCACATTAAAATTGCATTGGTCAAAGTGCTGAATAAATATATTAATATAATTGAATAACTAATAAGAAATATGTAATATATAAAATAATAATATTCAATTCTTAGTATACTTCTTCTATTTTCTTTAATGAGATTACTATTTTAGAGAATTAGAATATAATAAAGAGTTTTAATTCTATACTTTAATAATTAAATAATAATAAAATGCAATACATTTAATATCATCCTCAAATTATAGAGGAATTTAAAATGAATGAAGCTAAAAGTTTGTTTTAATCTATTGATGGTTCAATAATAACAAAATTTGAAGATAAGGAATCATTCAAAGAAGTAATATTACTTTACAATCATAAAAAAAAAGATTTAGTCTAATAACAAATTCTTTTTGGTTTAAATTCTATTTTAAATGAAGATAAATATATTCTATTGTGTAAGTGCTATTATGAAATCAGATATACAAAATTAAAATAAAATGAAGGTTTTTATATTGTTATCTTATATAATTCATTAGGAAAGGAATACTTAATAATCACTAATTCTAATTAATTTGTCAAAATTGAAACAATTATAAAAAGATAATGTTTGAGTTAACATTTTCTCAATAAATATCACATAATTGAATAAAAAAGATATCTACCTTTTGTTTAAAATTATTAAGTAACTATATTGTTATCAAATAGAATTAAGAATTGTATTGTGTTTTGTAAATAGATAAGAAATAAATTATAACAGAATTAGATAAGGAATAGTTTTATAATAGTATAATTATAATGAATTATTTCAGTGAATAAACTAAAATAGTTAAAATTTATGAAGAAAATTCTTTGTATTATTTGTTTATAAAATGCATGAAATTGTAATCATTAGAATCTTTGATACTTGATGATTTTGAATTTAGAGAAGCTCCATTAGTAAGCATATTCTATCTCACTCTTTAAATATTATAAAAATATTAAAATTTAGGAATATATCATGGTAATATTAATTTAAAATCTATTTTCATTAACATGTAAGGTACCTATTTATAAATACTCATTTTATTTCCAAAATATTTATCTAATAATAATAAAGGAATCTAAATAGATTTGTTAAATTTAGGTTAATTACTTTATTAAATAACATTTTATGAAAAAAAGGATAAAATTAAATAATTTGTAGATTAAAAACTTATTACATAATAAAAATAATTATATTAAAATATGAATACAGAAAATAAGCAATTTAAATTTTTATTTAGAATAAGTTAATTAGATTTACTGAATCAATTACTGGCACAAAATATTACAATTGAAAATGCATTAAAACATTAATGGTTTGTCACAGTTAAATAAAATCTTAAAACTGAATTTATGAAGGAAAAAAAATAATGTTTAAATTTACGTACTATAGTTGAATCAAATAATGAATTAAGTATGACTATTTCAATGGATAAACGAATTTAATCTAAAGAATTTGCAGAATATGGTATAGTATATTAATTATAATTAATTTAGAAATTGAAGATGAATTTCCAGTTAAATGTTCAATTTTGAATCCTTTTTAGATGAATCCTTCAAAATAAAAACATGATAATTGTGTTCCAAAATCAAAAAGTTTTTCAAGTTTTGATTTAACTTTTGAAAATAAAGAAAAATTCTTTACAAATAATGAAAAAATCTTTACAAATAATTAATCTTTTTTTATTTAATGACAAATATAAATTTTGTTATAAAAATTTATTTATTTAAAAATTAATAATTCATTTTATATTTGAAAAACTTTCCCAATATTAGATTTATTGAACAACATTATGTGGAATAATAGCTTTTTCAGGTACTCCTTCTTAAAACACTCTAAGAAAATCTAATCTCTTTTTTAATTCATCATTATTTTTATGTTATTTTTCAGTAGATATTTATTACTTCACTTATTTACAATTCATTTCCAAAAATTAAATTATTTATTTTGCTTATAAATTCTCTCTTACAGCTTTTCTAATGCTAGATTCAGATAGATCAGCTATTATTAAGATTTTAAATCGTTTTTTTATTTCTGAAAACAAATTTAACAAATTGCATAATATTTCTTCTTCTTATTGATCTCCAGAATTTAAATAAGCATATATTCTGAAATTAGCCTCAACAATAATATTACATTAAATTCCAATAGAAACACTTGGAGGTTCATAAAGAAAGTTCCAAAATAAAAATGTAATTCTCATTTATTATTCATGATAATGTGTTAAACCAAATTCTTATAGATCTTTGATAACATTTTTTTACCATTCTTCATTAGGCATTTAATATATTTTCATAGGATCCAAAACACTCAAACAAAGTATAAATCTTACGACATTACTAGTCTATTTAGTAACATAATATTTTAGAATTTAATTAATTTATTTATGAGTTGAACTCAAAATGAAAGAGAATCCAACTCCTAAATTTCTTTCAAGTAATTTGGATTCAATTAAAGTTTGTCTAACTTATTATCTATAACCAGAAATATCAGACCTATCTCTTCTACTAATCAGATCAAATAAATCCTTCCACTTTCTACTACATTCTCTTTTTAATTAGTCTTTGTTTTCAGTACAATCTCCTATTTTAGTTAAAATGCTTTTGCTTTTTCCTTCGATTGAATCCCTTAATGAGTTCTAAAAATTAGAATCCAAATAATAATAAGAATTTAAAGCTTATTGTTATCTTTCCTCTGATTTTGTAATAAGTTTTAATTGAATTGCCAGATCTAGAATAGTATTAGGTGATTATTAATAATTTTGAGCTTGTATAATACTTTCTGGGACTTTTCTTTCTTCAAAAAATACCATTCTTTAAATAATTGTCCTTAAGTTTGGCGGCAAGGATCTAAATACTGGAATACATGCTTATTCTTAAGGTTTATAGATGCTTGTATCTAATAATTGTAAACATCCTAAAAAATCTTCTAATTATTAAGACATAGATCACAATATAAATATTATTTAATTTAATCATCTTTTTCTACATTTTCTACATTTCCAATCCATCTAATCAATTTCTTCTTGTGTTTTATTAAGAGGTATTCCTGCACAACTTTAATGATACCAACATTTTTTTTCACTGCATTCAATCCATTTAGTATCAGTTCCAGGACAATTAGGATTTTCACATTTTTAATTAGTTTATTCTTCTCTATCAGATGTTTTTTCATCATTGCTCATAAACATACATTCATAATCACTCCGTACTCTTTTTTCAGGATTATAAGCAATTAAATAAGCTTTCTCAGTTTCTGATAAATATTTATCATCTTATTAGTATATATTGGCTTTTCCAAACTTTATTTCATTTAAAAATTCTTCCTTTTTGAATTGAGAAATTTGTTTTGTATTTAATTTCTATTTCATTATTTCTAATGTTGCTCCAGGTATCCAATATTCTAAGGTTCTTTTGATATTTAATTATTCTTAATATTAGAGATCCATTATTAAAAATTATTGTTATAAATATTATTGTAATAAAAAGATGAAAAGCATTGTGAAAACAGAAGAAGATTCTCCAAAAAAGCCTATTTGGGAATCTCTATTAGAAAGGGTATTCTAATCAATTAATCTAGGGATCATGTAAAAAGTAAGAAATAAACAGAAAAATAAAGGAAAAGGAAATTAAAGATGAAGAGCTTGATCCAGAATGTACTTTTAAACCTTTTTTAATCAATTAAAATTGTAAAATATCATTATTATATTTCAGAACTATAACTTGATAAACCTTTTTATTAGAGACAATTAAAATGGTTGGAAGATAGAAAACAAAAGATTCAAGAAAGGATAGATGGCGCTAAAGATAAGAGTTTAGAAAAGTGTTCATTCCAACCACAATTAGGACCATCTCCTTAAATACCTGAAGTAGATATCAGAAATACTAAAGGAATGGATTCATTCATCTAAAGATAAGAAAAAGCAAGAAAATTAAAATAAGAAAAACAAGTATTATTAAATAATCCATATTCTCATTTAAGTTCAGAAAAGAAGGCTGTTTTGACAGTAATATATAGCATTTATTCTATATAGAATCAATCATATTATAGTAACAATCATCCAATTTCAAAGGAATACGAGTCTATTAAGAAACAAGAAAGAATTGAATTTTCAAAAGCTATAGAGAATTCATAAGAAATTGAAACTTAATCATAAACCTAATAATAGTAGAAAATGTAATTGGGTATGGCTATGAAAATGTTACACAATCAATTATATAATATTCAATTTAATAGTGAATTTTGATGTGTTTATACTTACATTATTAGATAATAATAATATATTTATTATATTTACTTTGATGATATTTCAATATGTCTTTTTGATTCTCTCTGCATTCTTAGGAGAATCATATATTGTTGGTGGTCTACGCATTTCATGTTAGAAGTGATTGTATTCAAAAGTTCTATTTGATCTTCTTGTATAAGCTAATTCCATTAAGAAATCAAACATATCATCCTATAATAACTAATCTTATTTACTGTGCATGCATATGCTGCTTCATAAAACATTGCATAACATGGATATACTTTGGCTCTTTTCAAATAATCAGCTTCTGTCTTATCCATTTTAAAGTGTTCAGCCTAGTCACAATCAAACCATTTCTAAAATCTAAGAGCACATAATGTAAAATAATCTTATTATGATTAATAAGTAGGATAAGGAACATACACTTTCTATTTTGGAGGTAATCCAACTTAAAAGCAATTTGTTCTACCAGTAGGTGTTGTACCTCTAAATGGAAATAGACAATCTTCCAATGCCCCTATAAACATTAATAAGAATATATTACATCCTTCGAATAATATGGTGTAAACATCATCAGGTTCCATTAATGAATATTTATTAGCTGTAGTATCGAAATAGAAACACTATTTATTATATGAATATTACCTTTGTATATAATCTGAACCAATCTTTCAATTAATCTTTTTCCCAAACAGCATCAGTTCTCAATACAAAATCTTTTTCGTAATCTTTCCAATTTATTCCTTAAACTAAATTATAAGCAACTACCTTTGTGGGAGAAATCATAATTAGGAGGCATTTTATGGAAATCTTTGGGCAATGTCTCCAATAAAGGTTGTGTAGCCATTTTATTTAATTTATTATTATTATATTTATATTAATATCCATGGCAATTGAGTTAGAAATATATTTATGTATTAAAAATATACTTTCCATATTTAGACTCTAAAAGTCGATATTAGAATTGATTATTGTAATACTATTTATTTTCTTAAGAAAATTAAAGATATTACAATATTGAATTGTTAAATTAAAATTAATAATTAAATTAAATGGATCCTGAAAATGATTAAGAAATTATTGATTCTATTGTGAATGGTATTTTTATATCTTAATGTTCAGCTTTAGAAAGTGATGATGATAGATCGTTTTCACCTTCTTAAACTAGATCGGATACCAATAGAACTTATTCTCCCTAAATTAAGAGATTGTAATAACCTTAGTATTAAATATTCACATAAATAGATATTCAATTAAGAAAATTTAAAGTCCAATTATAGGCTTTAAATTAGATTGTTGGACAATTCAACCATTCAACTTGGATGATGACTAATACTTAGATGGAGATTTAGTATGCATTAAATTTTTATATAGATTCTTAAATGTAAGGATTAAACTAACAGCAGGAAAATCTAAGGTCTATTTGAAAAAGGAAATGATGAACAAAGAGAATTTATATTTTAAAAATTATTACCCGGAATTGTTTCACTTGCAAATGATATTTTCGGAAACTATGTTGTTCAAAGAATTTTAGAATAAGGTAATTAGTTATAAAGAGAATTGATTTTTGAACTCTTATCATAGTAAATACTAGTTTTATGTTATAATACTTATGGATGTAGAGTAGCTCAAAAATTGTTAGAAATTTCTTATAATACTTTTAAGTTTGATTAGATATTCAATATTTTATCATCTGAAATCAGGAATTTAGTACTTGATACTAATGGAAATCATGTGATTCAAAAAATTGCTGAATTGGTTAAATTTTAGAAAAGTGAATGGTTGATTGAAGGTGTTTTGGGATAGATTCAAAAACTATCAAATGATTCTCATGGATGCAGATTAATATAATAGATATTAGAATTATCTTCCATTTCATAAGTAATGATATAGATTAACAAAAAAGTTAAATAATATTTATAAGGAATTATTATCCATATAAGATGAATTATGCTTTTCATAATATGGAAACTATATCATTTAAATATTGTTACATAGAGGACCAAGTGATGTTATTTATAAAATTTAAAATGGTATTATTAAGAATTTGGAGAAATTGAGTTGTGATAAATTTGGAAGGTATTCTATAATATTTAAATAGTAATGTTGTTGATAAAAGTGTAAATATTTCAGTTTATATGAGAAAAGAAATATTAAAAGTATTCATTCATAATATGAATGTCTTTTATAAATTATCTAATAATTGTTATGGTAATTATGTAATATAGAATTTCTGTAAATAACTTGAATATAATTAATTAATAAAATTATCATATGATTCAAGTTAATTTAATACTCAATTTGGTTAACATGTATATTAAACCTTATAAAAATTGAAAAATTGATTTAATTATTAGATAATATTTAATATCCAAAATGGACATTAATATAAATTTTGGATTTTAAATATTATTTTTGTATATATTGTAAATATATAAATCTTGATATCAATATTATTTATATTATCTAAATTTATAATGGGCAGAGATATTGAAAAGATGAAAGATAAACATGTATATCCATTTTATCTTAACTGAAGGGATCTTCAAGCAAAAAGAATAAAAAAGACAAAAAGGAAAAGAAGGAAAAACATAAGAAAAAGGACAAGAAATAGAAAAAGGAGGGTTAAAAGTAAAAATAATAAAAGAAAAACCAATGGGGAAAATATGGTACAATAAGGTTATATAATATCATTATTAAAGCAATACAGACATGTATTTAAAACGTGAGGAGTTTTTGATGTGGCTATCAGATGTTAAAATGCTAAATATTGAAGCAATCACACCTTAGGAAGAGAAGAAATTTTTTGAAGAATATGTTGAATGTTATAATACAGCGACCTTTCCATCTAAGAAATTTTATAATTTCAAGTTTTGGTTTGAGAAAGAATAACTTAAAGAACATTTGTAATAAGCAGAGATTGAAATGCTCACTTTTGATGATGAAAAAGAAAAATAGTATATTAATTGTTTATTAAATTTTTAATAGGAAAGAACAATAGGAATAAAAGGAATTGATTAAAAAATAAAAATTATAAAGAGAATATTAACATCTTCATGAATTTTAGAATATTGTAATAAATTGAGTATTTATTAAGGCACAAGACATGCAAAAATAGAAACAACTTTAAGAACTCTTGAGACATTATTTGTAGATGGGTAATCATGAGGCTGCTGTAAAAATTTAAAAGTAACTTAATCCTATCCATACTATCGATATGAATCAAATCTAATAATAACCACCAATTGACTTTGACTATGATTATGATAATTTCTGATCCTTTTAATATATATATATATTAAATACAAAGATATTCAATTTAATATATATAATATGTTAAAGAGTATAATAAAATTAAAATGTGTAGCTGTTAATTTATATAAATAATTTGAATATCAAATGGCAAAAATAATAGATAATTATATATTAATTGAGGGTATAGGATAAGGAACATTTGGTGAAATACATAAAGGCAGAAATTTAATATCCAAAGAAGCAGTGGCTGTGAAAACTATTAAATTAGATAGATTTTTAAATGATTCAATATTGAAGGATATGATAATTAATGAAATCTAAGCATTAAAAAAATTAGAGGATTAATACATCGTAAGAATGATTAAAATGCTAAAATCGGCTAATAATATTTATTTAGTATATGAACACTTAAATGGGGGATCGTTAGCAAATTATTTATACGAAAAAGGTAGACTAACAGAGTAAGAAGGAAGATAAATTATGTCAAATGTATTTAAGTATACTTTTATTCTTAATATTTAGAGGTTTTAAGACTTTAAATCATGAGAAAATCATTCATAGAAATATCAATCCAAATAATTTATTTTTTAATGATGGAATAGTTAAGATAAAGAATTTCTTTTGTTGTAAATCACCAGCAAGTTAGAAATTATTTGATCCTGGTAATATATATATATATATATTATATAGAAAACTTTATATACTCTGCTCCTGAAGTATTGTTAAAGACATAATAGCCGCAATATGAAGACAAATGTGATATATTCTCTTTGGGATTAGTGTTTTATAAGATGTTTTTAGGATAATTACCATTCCCAGAAACTTTAACTTAAGATCAACTTATTGATTTATATAAAAATTAGTAATTCAATCCAAATGTTGAAGATTTATCAGAGAATACTGCTTACATTTTGAATGGAATGTTATAAGTTGATTAAGCAAGAAGAATAGAATGGCAAACTTTATTTCATGAAGATTAAGTACCTACTATGTCAGGTTTAGTAAATTCTACCAATACGAATTTTGCTTCAAATTATTAAATTAATTCATAAGTATAATAATTTGAGACTGGAGGTTAAAATTTTTATATTTCACAATAATCTTTATAAAATCATATAACTACTAGTCCAAATGAATTAGTTAAACGAAAAACAAATGTTTCTGATAAAGAAAACATAAAATTAAATAAAGAAAATGATTAAGCTTAAATCTTTGCTAAAACAACAGAAAAAGAATAATATCTATAATAATAATAATCATAATAATAAACTTTATAAATTTAATCATCTAATATTAATAGTTCCTCTTAAAATGTAGTTAAATAAATTTAAAATTAATTAAGTGAATTAAGACATAAATTTAATATAATAATATAAGGAACATGTAAAATTGAATAATTAGAAAATTGGTCAGCTAAAATTAAAACAGAAATATGCATGATATTCTTATTAAAAAAAGCAATTAAATGCATAAATGAAATGTTAGATATTTGCTAGAATACTGATAGATAATGGGCAATTTCAAAGAATAAATCAGAAATAATTAAGATTCTATAAAAAGACTTTGATGATTTAGTTACAAATTATAAACATGTTAAATAAATGGTATAGAAATAACTATCTTATTGAATAGAACACTTGTCCACATGAAGAATTAAATACACACGAAATGATAGATGAATAATATGTGGATAATGTATTAATAATGATAGCAAAATAAATTGCTATGGATTTAGGATAAATTCGATCAAGTATGAGAAGTAATTCTCAAATTAAAAGCAATGTAATTTATATATTTTCTAATTTAATTAGTCATTTAATTATGAATAAACTAGTTAGAGGAATGGCAGCTTTATTGAATCAAAATAAGGTACTTCAAATTAATACATTTTTGCAATCTTTTTAATTGATTTAGTTAAAGGAATGAATTTTGAAGATTAAAAACCTTATTTTAAAAAGTTAGAAGAATCAAAATTACCAGAATTGTTAGATTTTAAACTCAAATCTATTTGATTGTATATTTTATAATAAACATATTAATAAATTTATTTTTATGATCTAAAAAACTGAATACTTTGTCAATGAAGATTAAGAAAGAGAATATAGAATTCAAAGTAAGAATAGTATACATTAATTAAAGGGATGGAAAAATAATTAATTGAAAATTAGTTTACTAAATAAACATATCCCAAAAAATATGATTATACACTATAAAAAAGTGATTATGCTGTTCCAATTAATTAATTGGATTATAAATCATTTTATCAATCTTATATGCCTTAAGATTAGAAATAGATAAGCCTTTAAAATATATAAGTTGTTTAAAATAAAGCTTCATCATTTATATTTAGCCATGATAATAATAAAAAAGAATTAACTCCAAATAAAAAACAACAATAATTATTATATAGAGATATTTTATAAAAATAAGTTGAAGAAAAATAAATATAATTAAAATAGTAAAAAGTGAAGCACGAATGCACTGATCTCTTTACAAATAATTTGTAAAACATAACAAATAATAAGATTAATAATTTAAGTAAGTCAGAATATTAGAATTATTTATAATTATAAATATAAGAAAAATAAGGCAGTAATAAAATATTTGATTCTCCTAATAAAAATTAATAATAAGTTGAGGAATAGAATTAAGATAAAAATTCTAAAGGATCAAAAGAATTTTAAATAATTTAGAAGTAATTAAAATAATATTAGGAAGAAAAAAAATAAAAGGATAGAAAACTTTTACTGCAGTAGAAATTTGAGTAGTCAACGTCAATTCATGAGAAAACAAAGGAAAAGACTTATTCTCCTGAGTTTCATAATAGAAAGAGAAATTTTATCTAAGAAGATGAAGACGAAAAAGCAAGAACTCAGCAATAAAAAAGTGTTGTATCCAAAATATTGACTGAATAAATATAAGAAAAATAAAAAAAAAGGAATGAAGAGAAAAAATAATAGGAGACAGAAGATAAATTGGCTGAAGAGAGATGGAAAAATGAGGTTTAAATGATGAAAGAGGAGAAAAAAAAAGAAGAAGAACTTAAAAAGGAATAATAAGGAAGTAATTGAATTATGATTAATAATTTTATTTAGAAATTCAATAAGAGAATATTAGAATGCATTAAATGAGGCTTAAGCAATAATAAGGTAAAAAAAGGAGCAATTCGAATTCACTATAATAATCAAAGAATGAAGAAGAGTTTAAAGAAGAACTTAAAATGATTCAATAAGAAATAGAAGAATAATAATATTATTAATAATAATAATAATAATAATAATAATAATAATAATAATAATAATAATAATAATAATAATAATAATAATAGATATAGTAATAATATTAATAATAAATAGAGTAATAATAATATTAATAATAATAAATTATCTCAAAAAATGAATAGGAGGAAGAAATATCATAATAATATTATTAATATGCAGAATAGAATATTAAACCAAATAAAACAATAAGTTTTATTGATTAATAGAATTTAGAATTAGACTAAATAAAACATTAGATGATAGAATAATAATAGTAATTAGAAAGACAAATTCATGCTGCAAAAAGTTTGGCTTAAATAGGATTATTAGAAGGGAAGAATAGAATAGAAAAAGAATTCATAATTTAAACAGGTAGATATAATAAATACTTTAATGAAGATTATTCAATAGGATTGTTAAATAAAAATTAAAGTAAATATTAATATGAATTACCCTTTCTGTTTAATTAAAAAATTTAGCATGATTATTTATATACAGATAATCTTTTAGACAAAGTTCATATAAATGGTAAATCTACATTGATTCCAATATCTACTCAGCTTAACAAAAAAAATCCATCAACATATTAGATATCAACAGATTAATAACAAAATTAAGCTAGGTCGAAATCTATTTCTCAAAATTCCAAATAACATTTTCATACTTAACTATTAGATTCACAAAATCTTAAGTAAAATGATGCTTTGAGTAAATTGCTTTTAGAGTATCATGAATGAATTAATAAATATCAACTCGTATTAACAATAAATTCTATTTCATCATTAATATTAATTAATAGATTATTCATAAAAGTGCAATAATTCAATCAAGGCATACAACATTAACTATCCTGTTCAACTCCTTTTTTATTTTATTTTTATTATTATTATGGTGAGTTCTATTACAATTTCATTCCTACTTTACTTTTTTAATTTCTAATATTTATGAGATTAAATTGTTTACTAATTTGGTTTTCCAACTCTTAAGATGATTTGCCTAGTAATTAAACTAAAACAATTTTCAATATTGATGTTTGTTTTAGCAGATGTTTCAATATATGAAATATTAAATGATTTAGCTTGAATGATAAAATTGAATACCTAATGCTTCAGCTTCATCTGTTGATACTCTTCTTTAAGAGCTATCTATTTTATTTCCAACTAATATTTTATTAACTGATTCTGCTGCAAATTTATCAATCTCTTGCATCCATTATCTAATTTAGTTAAAGGATTCTCTATCTGTAACATCGAAGACTATAATGATTCCTTAAGCTCCTCTAGAATTTAATATTAAATATGAAATACCTATAATAACTGCTTGTAATAGTTCTGAATCTATCCTGACCTGCTGTGTCCCACTAAAATATTGGAATTATGTATGTTTACTATTTACAATTTGACAGTTGATTTATCAATTTAAAATACTTTAATTTTCTAATGTATTTAAACATATATATTTACAAAATCAACACCAATAGTATTATAGAAATGATTTGTAAATTAGTTTTCCTATATTTTTAAATTTTTAAATTATTACGCTAAATCTCATTAACATACATGATTTACCTACTCCACTATTTCCAATTAATAAGACTTTAAATAAATAATCACTAATTTAGTAAATGATATTTACCATTCTGAACTTTATTGTACATAATAATCTGACATAGTTTATAAGAATATAAAAATTAGAATTAATAATAATTAATATAAATAAATCATAGTATAATGTCATATTTCGACCTTGTGATTTTACGATTTTGAATTCTTAACTTATTCAAAGGAGTACTCTCTTCATATTCAGCTAATTCAGCCATTTCATTTTCTATTTCAGCAATTTTTATTTGTTGCAATTAATTTTAAAAAGTATTTCTTCTTAATAAACTACGTTTTAAAGTAATAGAATCTTATTTTTAGAGAGAATTCTTTCTTTTCTTACCACTACTTTAATTACTCATTGTATCCTTCAAACTCACTCTACATTCATCATCAAATAACATTCTATTAATGATATTTTGTGGATCTGTATAAGATAATCTTATATTCGAGACTTCATTATCTTCTTCTCCACTACTACTGCTACTATAATTATCTTCAATAAATATTCCTAATCTTTTTATTTCATGACTCTTTATAACACTTTTTTCAATTACATTAATATCTACATCAAATCTTTTAATTCTATAGAATAAAATATACAATAGACCTTATATATATTATAATATAATATTACCTTCAAATTTTATGTATAATGGCAGAGTTCTTCTTTATTTAGCATTTAACTATTTAATCTAATAATTATTTGAATTTGGTGATATAAATTCTGCAACTCTAGCTATAGCTTCTATAAATTCAATGAATTGCATTTCAAAGTGTCTCTTCTAAGTAATTTCATCTACTTGCATCATTATTGATTGTAAATAAATAAAATAGAGTTATTATTCATTTATTAAATTAGGAAAAAAGTCTGAATTTTAAAGTAACATCCTAAAATCTTAAAAAGAAACATATTTTTCTTTAGCATGTGGTTTATTCGAGAAACTTGAAGTATAAGAAAATAATTATTTTAGAAATGGCAATTTGAGTCGAATTGTCATATCCATAATTTATGTCCAATATCTCTCATCTCTCCACTATTATGCACATCCATAATCTAAAATAAAACCAAATTATCCTGTTTATGCTTGCATCATTTTATCAAATCCTTAAGCTATACTTGAACAATTTCCTTATTTAACATATGTTTCCTTAGCTAATCTTATTAATAACTCTAAAAATTGATGTCTAACTAATGCTCTTTCTTGAATATATTAAGATTTTAATTCTTTAATAACTATAGTACTAATTAGGCATATTTCCCAATCTACTTATTTAATCAATTGATTATTTTTAGATTAATAATAAAATCCTTAAATTGTTTAAATATTTATTCTTGGAAAATCCTATTCACATTACTATGAGGCTAAATATTTATAGCAAGAGATTATGTATTTATAATATTTCTTTAATTGTTCCTATAAATAATTAAATTTTAATTTACTTTCAAAGGATTGATCTCATTATTATTCATTAAATGTTTTAATATTTTACTATTCTCTAGATCTGCTTCCAAACATTATTCTAAATGTGCTTCTGTATCTTCATCAAAATCTTTGAAAATAGAATTATCTAAAGTCCATTTTCTTTTTTTAGCTAATTCAACATCAAATTCCACTATTTTTTCAGGTTCTCTAGGTTTACATTAAATATTAGCTAAATAATGTTTTTTTTTATCAAAAATAGGAGTAGATTATGATGTTTACATCATATTAACTGTATGTAAAGGTTAACTTTATAATACTTTTCCATTAGAATATTCCATTTGTACACCAAAGTTTCTTAATTAAGAATGAATTTAAGTTTAGATTGTCTTTTGATCTTTAGCATAAACTTAAACATTTTATACTGGATTACTGAAGAAATATCTAATTGTTTGATTAGGTGGACACATTCTATATAGAGTAAAATATCCATCATTTGTTTTTTGCATAAGTGATGGCTAATAATCTTCAAATTCAAGATGAATAAATATTGGATCTTCATCTAAATATCCAGATTTATGTGGTTTCCATTAAAACATTATTTCAACCCAACCTTAACAAATCCAACAACTTTCCAATTATAAATTTACTATATCCACACTTTAAATTCTAATAAATTCATTCTTTTTCTTTTAAGTTTATTATTCCATCTATTGCATTTGTAATTCAAGTTATTTCTTATCTTATTCTTCTATATTAATATCATCTTATTATGATTCTGTAACTAATTTTTTGTTTTTTTATTCTTTAAGATATCCTTTATGATTTATTTCATAATTTGAATTACCTTCAAAATGAAATCCATATATAATCTTATTAAATTCTAATTCATTTGCTATTTTCTTAGAATCAATATCTTTGAAATCATTATGTGATAAATCTAAGTGAATTAATTCAGGATGAGGTCTTCCAATCAAATTACATATTTCATTAGTACAATCCTTATTTCCTCCTAATTTATTAAATGAAATATCTAAAACTTTTAACACAGAATTCTTACTCAATCCTTTAAATAAGAATATGCCTCCTTTAAATGTTATTTTATTATAATGTAGATATAATTCCTATATGATATTATTCTATTATTAATAATTATAATATATACTTTTTTCATCATCTTTCCAAATGGTTCCATAACTTAATCCTAAATTTAATTATGAGACAAATTTAGAACTCTTAAACATTTATTATTTTACAATGAACCAATTAAGTATTTTAAACCTTAATCTCCAATTTGATTGTTTTCTAGATTAAGTTCAATTACAAATTAGTGTTATTTTAATAGTAATTTTTATAGAAATAAACATCCATTTTTAGATATTTTATTATTTTTTAAATCTAAATATTAAACTGATTTTGGTAATTAATCCAAAACTATTTCCAAATCTTCATTATTCAAATTATTAGAACTAATATTAAGTCTTTCTAATTAATTGAATGTTGATGATCCTAATCCTGCTGCAAACATCTTAATATATTATTGACTACTTAATTAACCAGCAACACTAATTTCTTTTTTGTTATGATTATCAATTATTTGCATCTTTCTAGGCATACATTATTGTTATTCCATAGCTTTATTTAAGTTTACATAAATATTATTTGGAGTTTCATTGAAAGTTTGAACATCTAAACATTTTTTTGAATGTTTGTAAAATTTATAATAATCTTAAGAATTAGGAGTATTAATGATTTATTATCCTAACTTTTAATAATCGATTGATTGACTTTTAGATGAAAATAAAGATTATGTGGAAGGAAAAGAAATGACAGAATAATTTTCTTTAAATAGTTTCTTTTTTATAATCTACTCTTTTGATATCTCTTATACTAAATGATATCTTGAATTTAAGGGAGGTAATTTATTTTCTGATAAAATTGGTTTAGAAGGGAAAAAATGTTTTGTTTGTTATTAATTTGTTAAGTTAGTTTCTTTCAGTTAAATACTCAATGGTGTATTTGAATCTGATGTTTAAAATTCTGTTAGATCAAAAAATAGATAGTCATCATTCTATTTTAGATTCTTAACATTCTGGTCTTACTTAGTATTGAGGGAGGATTTGGTGTTAATAGATGTTCCTGAAATATTTAATTTCATTTTTTTTATTAAAAAAGTAGTTAATTTAACAAATAAATATTTTATTAAATTACAATAAATATTTTAAATTCTTCCTCCAAAATGAATTAAAATAAAGAGAATGAATATTTAGTTGATGTCTAAAGTTATTTCACTAACAAGTGTATTACATCAGCAAGAAGTACCTCATTACATGAAGATAATACAATGAAATTTAGTAGAAACAAGAATTTATTTGAATAAAAACAATAAGAAAATGAAAAAGTTAAATTATTTACTAATAAAATTTAGGAATTAAAAAAGAAATGGTCAGATATAGCTAAAGATTGGTAAAGAAATAAAAGAGATGTGAAAGTATTTCAATTAGCAGAATTTGGTATACCTATTAGTGCAAGAAAATAAATCTGGCCTTTAATTGTTGGAAATAAGTTATAAATTACTAAAGAACTTTATAATATCTTACAAATTCAAAGTAAAACATTTAAAATGGACTCAAGAAAACCATTAGGAAGATTGTCTTCATTTAATCATATCAAATAAGATTTAGGGAGAACTTTCAAAAATGAAAGTATTGATCTTTATAATGGCATAATTAGGTTTACAAAAGATCTTTCATCCTGGAGGACCTTTAAGTGAAAACTTATAAACCATTCTTGAAGTATTTTGCTTATATAGACCTGATATTGGTTATGTATAAGGTATGACTTATGTTGGATCAATCTTATTAACATATTTTGATGATTATCAAGCTTTTGTTATTTTTAGTAGTTTAATAACACATCCTCAATTAATATCAATATTTATGCTTGATGAACAGAATCTCTAAATAATATTTCAATAATTTGAAAAACTAATTAAACTCAACATACCTCAAGTTTATAAACTATTTAAATAATATAATATAAATTGTACTAATTATTTGTTAGATTGGATATTAACTCTATATGCAAAACCTTTGAATCCAGATATTGTAGGTAGAATTTGGGACAGAATGTTATTTAATGGTACACATATTCTATGGAAATGTGGAATTGCTATATTAAAGATATTAGCTCCAAAATTTAAAGATTAAGAGAAAACTCTTTAGAGTTTAAAGAATCCTGATATTAAAGATGATGATTTATTATAAGAGATGAAGAGTGTTAATTATCCCTTTGAGATTTAAGAGGTTTTAGGTAATATTGAATTATGATATACTTCACATGCATATAATTATTCTCTTTGTGATATTCACATTTGATCAAAATATTTATATAAATCTATCCAACCAATTCTTTTATCTTGGTCATATTCTAACATGGAATTTATAATGAACTATGTTTTTTATGATGTTTTTGTGTTTTCATTATGAATGATTTCTCTTTATAAAGTATTATTTACTTTTATTTTTTGTTTCATACAAATAGATTTAATGATTCTAATCAGAAAATGGTAATTCTCCATAAATCATCAAGTAGAACAAACATCCTAAACTAAATATATCTGCTGTATTTTAATATTATTTTGATTGAACAACTTCAGGTGCCATATAACCAAGCATTCCAATAGTTAAAGTCATAGGATTATCATTGTTATACTAAATGCATAAAATTAAGTGTAGACTTACTGAATCCAAGATCTCCTATCTTGATTTAATCATTATGTAATAAAATATTCTTCATTTTAATGTCTCTATGCATCACATAAGATTTCTAAAGATCTTGCATTCCTTTAAGTATTTGTTTCACATATACAATAGCTTATTCTTCACTAAAATGTTTATTTTAATCTAACCAATGTTTTTCAATATCTCCTTCTTTTATTATTTATATATGTTTTACAATTACAATATTCCATAACAATATATGAATATTTATTTTATTAGAATTCATCAATGAATTTTATAACATAGTTACTATTAACTTATTTCATATTTTATTTTTCTGTTTCATGTAATTAACCAACTAATCCTCCATGATTCTTAAATGTAGACATGGCCACAGCTTTTATTGCTACATTCTCATTAGTTTAAACATTAATAGCCTTTTATACATGCTTTTTTTTTACATGATAAACTTTACAATATCCTCCAGATCCTATGAGTTTCACAATTTCATATTATTTTAATCTCTTTCCTGGAATATGTAATTACTTTTATTTCATTATAAATTTTAATATATATATATATATACTTTTAATTATCAATCATCAGGATGGTTTCAATATAAAAAAATTGTTTAATTCTTCTGATCTGAACATTTTATGGAGTATATGAACATTCTAAACTATTTATTGGAACTCAATCAATTCATTAAAACAGAACATAATCTTATCATAAATTCTAATATGCTTACAACAACATCATGATATTATGTAATACCAAATCCTTTAGAATCCCATACAAAATAGTTTTATTTAGTATCTAAATTACCAAGAGATTAAGATATCATGAAATCCTTATACAATTCTCCATATTATTACATATAGAATTTAAATGTCTTATTATTTATTCCAAATGCTTAATACATAGGTAGAAATAATTATCCTGAAATGTGTCTAACAATAAAATGTTTAATTTGAGTCTAATTTTCTATACATTTTGGAGTAATTGGATTATTTTGAAGAGATGAAAATAGAGTTTGTTATAATTTATTTGAATCAAATTTCTCTATCATTGTTTATGCTGCCTCTTTACATTTTGTAAACATATCCAATGAATTATCATCTGATATCATTACAATTCCAATTGTATTTTAATAAAAGAAATTTATATAAGCATACACAAATCCCATTGCTGATAAACCTGGTAAACATATTGGAATCCAATTTTCTCCTTTCTTCAATTATCCTTATCCTTAAATCATACTTTATATGATCATAATATCAGATGTCTTAAATTCCATATTCTTTTATCTCCATATGTCAATTACATAGGTTTCAGTCAATAACAAAGTTGCTATTACATTAGACACTTTAATTTCCTTTAAATTATTATGAATAAATGATCTCAAAGTAACTGTCATAGGCAAAGTGCATATTGAATTAAATGCTATACATGGAGAATACAATCCATTCTTTATAGCTAATGTCAATAGATTTCTTGATCCACCCACAGAGAATCCTAAATCATAATTTGGTTTTTGTATTAAATGAACATTTGCTTAATCTGTTACTATTGATATCAATTAAGTATTAAGAAAATCTAACATTTGATAAATGATAAATTCTGAATCCTAAGAAGAATATAACAATTATATATATACTTAGAGATTATTTGTTGTGCAAATATAAGTGATTTAATTTCTCTATAGAATGTAAATATTAGATTTGTCATGTGAAATCTTAAACAAATTTTGTTTTTCTTTGTCTTCAAAAAAGAATAAAAGAAACTTTTAGAAGATTGCATTGATGGTTGCTAAAAAGATGGATGACTTTTGATATTTTATTAATCTATATACTTTGATTTCACTTCCATATCTCACATAAATGGGTCTTCCTGTATTGGTCATAATAAATACATGTCTTTTATGTGTAAAAAACTCTGGAATATCAGGTGATATTTCTTAATAAGAAACATTAATGACATGAGGTTTGTATTAGTATGATTCAGTATTCATTAATTAATATTAATTTTCTTATTTAATGTGAACATTTTCATTCAATATTATGGCTAAAAGACAGCATTATATCTAGCAATAGATGGTCCTCTTTCGAAATACTCTTATCTTGTATGATAAACTTTCTCAAATTATGGCTATTATTTAAATTATAATATATATACTTATAATGCCATCAAACTTCCTCCTTACCAAACAGCATATCTTTAAAAGGGATTCTGAGTAACATTAACTTTTATTGGTGCAGGCTTTAATATAATGAAGAAGATAATACTTTGAATCCAGACCTTTGTTCATATTTTTAGAGTCTGGAGTCAATTCTAAGTTAGACTTATTATTCTAATCTTTAAGCAAATCCATCAAACAAAGTAGATCCTCCTGATAAAATGATATTTTAATATAATTTCTTTCTACAATCTACAGGAGATGTTTATATGGATTTATCAATGATTTCATCAATAGGAGATCTCCATTTGCCATCTAAAAATTCAGGATGGAAGAACATTTCTGGTCCTAAAAATCTTTCATAACCAATATCAATTGTATATTTTTCTTTAGTAACAGAGTTCTTTCCATAATATGTTTTAAATTTATTTTTATCTCCTCTATCATAAGCTTAGAATTCCTTTATTAAATCTCCATCACTTATACAATATCCATATTTTTCTTTAACTTCTCTAGCTACTTTTTTGATATCTTCTGCAGGTATATTTTCTCCTCTATCTTTTAATAAAGTTTAAATAAATTGGGTGATGTCTCTTCCTGCCAAAGGGATATGTTTAATACATGATCCTATAACATAACCATCTGAAACAGGTATACAATGTGTTACACCATCTCCTGAATCTAAGACCATACCTGTTAATCCAGCTGTTTTTTGATATTCATTAACAGGAGCAAAGGCACTAGAGAAAAGGGATAAAACAGCCTAAACTGAAATATGTAATCCTTTTGCATTGAATGTTTCAAAAAAGATTTCTGCAATATTCTCTCTATTTTCAGGAGGATTCTATATATTATTATTGCATATTTACCATAGGTGGTTCAGTCAAAATGAAGGTTGTTTCATCTGGTTCAGCTCTGAGGTAATCAAATATACTTCTATGCCAAAACTTTTCCATGAGATCCCAATTTTCTACAATACCACTCTTCATTGGATAAAAGATATTGTGAGACTTTGTATAGTCATATGCTTCATATCCTATGTAATAATCTAAATTTTCATTTGTATTCTTGCTCATTTAAACTTTTTACTAATATCAATCTATCGAATTACTTTTTCTTAATGATCTGCCACAACAGTAGGAATATCGAATTATGGTTCAGTATTTCCAGCCCATCCCATCTTTGTAAATCCAGTACCTACGATTTACTTTAATCAAATACCATTATCTATGACACAAACCTTGCTTTGATAAAACCCTTAATCAATTGTTTATTGCATATGATACTCTATATATATATATATATATTTTATATTAATAATTATTAGTTATTCATTAATCTTATGATTATATTAACTTAGTTATAATAATGTTCATATTTTTCTTATAAAAGAGTATGAATAAAGTTATCTACTCTTTTCTATTTATCATTAATTGATACTATTATTTCCCTTTTTTAAATTTCATTATACAAATAGTTTTAGTATGATATCATATATAGTTCTAAAATTGATATTGAATCCATCTAATATCAATTCTATTTTGATTTTACAAATATCTAATACAAATATATAATCCTTCTTAATAAACATCAATCTACTTAATGTGAAACATCAAAATGTTTTATTCTTGTTAATTTAGGAAAGTTTATATTTAGTATTATTATTTAATTTAGTAGTGTCATTATATGTTGATCACTTTTTTCCTTGTCTATCAAAGCCAGATTCAAATAGACTTCTTATAAATCATTCTAATATTTAAATATTATATTAAATTTATTAGTGTAAATATTAGAATCTCATATTGGATTTGATCAAATTCTGAAATTAGAAATGCTAAATATATGAAGGAATGTTTCTCTATTATTCTACTTCGCTTGAATCTTGTAATCAATTTGTTACATTCTCGTGATTATGACTACTGTAATCGAAATCATATAACTTATTACTAATTCTACTGAGAATCCACGTGAATTTCTCTGGTCATAATGATATCTCCTTTTACATAATAAATTTAACAACTATCAAAAACTAGACATATAATCCAATTTGTATAATATTAAAATTATTACATAAATAATAATAATAATGTTATTCAACTCTATCTATCAATAAGCTTTTTATTATTTTCAATCTTAATTTTTATCTCTTGATCTTCTAACATTAAAGACTACTTTATTTCTATATTATTAGTACTTAAAACTTAAAAAGTAATTTGAGGATATTTAAAAAATGAATTATTTACCTATACACATATAATTACCTACTCTAAATTTTACAGAACATAAATAAAATCCTTAGATTTTTTAGTATATATATCCACCCTCCCCTTGCTATTCTTTTCTACAATAATTAAGATCATTTATGATTGAGAGAGGACAAACAGTTTACACAAACTTCTATTAGATTCAGATCAACCCAAATAGCCATATCTATAGATATCAAGTAATATATACATCTCTATTCTCTCTCTTATAGTTATCATTTTAACCATTCTTATCTCCAGAATAACAAATATCTAAATGGAGAGAAATATTCAAGATTGCTAAGTCAGGTCTTCAAGAGAACCTAAAAGTCTTCATTACTAATAACTAAATTCTCTATTCCCCAATTAGAGCTTAAACAATGGGACTACTTCTTGGAGTATATGAAGAAGAAGGAACTAGTCATTCAATTTCTATTGAAGAGAAAGCTGTTCTAAAACCAGGAGAACCTGAATACACAGGGTTAATAGGAAGATTCTTTAAAATGTTATTAAAACAATAAAAATTGTTATAAATTGGTAGAAAGTACTTTAACACCAAAAATTTAATTAATTTTGATTAATTTGGATTGAAAGTATATATTTAATTTAATGATCTTAAGGTTTTACCTGGAGTGACATGTAGTTTAATAAAATAGGAAGAATAAGGAAAATATTACATTAATATAGACTCTTCATTTAAAATGTTAAGAAGCACTACTATGTATGAGGAATTAAGAAACTCAAGAGATTTTTCTTAATTGGAAGGAGCCATAGTGATGACAGTCTATAATTACAAATTCTATAAAGTGAATAAAGTAAGTAGGGAAATGAATCCAAAGAGTGAATTTGAAAATTTGAAAGGAGAAAAGATGAGTTACATGCAATATTACTAAGATAAGTAAGAATAGAATAATAACACATAAAAGATACAAGATTGCCATAAAAGACGTAACTTAACCATTGATAGAAGTCTTAGAGAAATCTAGAAAGAAACAAGAAGAGAAGATTATCTATTTAATACCAGAATTATGTGTAATGACAGGATTATCAAATGAAATGAGAAATAATTTTTAGACTATGAAATAATTATCCACTGTTACTAAACCAAGAGGAGTAGATAGAGTGAAATAAGCAGATCAATTTATTTAGTGTTTTCATAATAAAGAGAGTGAAGAATTAATAAAGAAATGGAATATTTAATTAGAACCAAAATGTTTATAGATTTAAAGTTCTAAAATCAAACCAGGAAATATTATGATGGGGAATAACACATCTATAAATATAGAAACAGGTAATTTAGATAGAGATACTCAGACAGCTATGTTAAGAGGAGTAGGTTTAGAGAATTGGGGAATATTATATAGTGATAGAGATAGTAGATAAGCTGAAGATTTTATGAATTGTTTGAGAGAGAGTATTGAATATTGTAAATTTTAATGTAAAGCTCCTCGTACTTTTGTACTTCATTCAAATAGAATTGAAGATTGGATTAAATAAATAGATTTAATTGTATAATAATCATAAGGACCATAAAAAGTAACCTTGTTATTATTAATATTAAATGGTCCAAAGAAGAATGCTCCACTTTATACAGATATCAAAAGATATTTAATTAATGATTGTCCAATAGCTTCATAAGTTATATTGAGTTCCACTTTAAATTAACCTAAAGGAAAAGTTAAAACTATTTGTAATAAATTATTGGTTCAAATTTGTGCTAAAGTTGGAGGAACACCTTGGGGAGTATCAGAATTACCATTTACTGATTAACCAACTATGATTTGTGGAATGGATGTATATCATTCTACTGGAAAAGCAAAAAAATCTATGTTATCATTTGTATCAACAGAAGATGAATTCTTTAGTAAATACATGACTTAATCAATTGAAATGGAAACTGGAGTAGAATTTTCATTTAGTTTATGTCCAGT